TTTTTCTGTCTTTCTTTCTTTCTTTTTTCTTTTTCTGTCTGTCTTTCTTTTTTCTTTTCTTTCTTCTTTTTCTTTCTTTCTGTTTTCTTCTTTCATTTTTTCTTTCGTTCTCTTTCTTTCTTATTTGTTTCTTTTTCTTTCTTTCTTCTTTTTCCTTCTATTTTCTTTTTCTGTCTGTCTTTCTTTCATTTTTCTTTTTCTTTCTTTCTTTCTTTCTTCTTTTTCTGTCTTTCTTTTTTCTTTTTCTTTCTTTTTCTTTCTTTTTTCTCTTTCTTTCTTTCTTTCTTTCTTTCAAACTGTCCATTTTGTCATTACTAGGGGTGTTCCTGTCATCTTTCTTTCTTTCTTTCTTTCTTTCTTATTTTCTTTCGTTTTTCTTTCTTTCTTTTATTCATTCTTTCATTTTTCTTTTTTCATCTTTCTTTCTTTCATTTTTCTTTTTTTCTTCTTTCTTTCATTCATTCATTCATTCATTCATCCAAACTGTCCATTTTGTCATTACTAGGGGTGTTCTTGACACCTTTTTCTGTCTTTCTTTCTTTCTTTCTTTCTTTCTTTCTTTCTTTCTTTCTTTCTTTTCTTTCATTTTTCTTTTTTCTTCTTTCTTTCTTTCATTTTTCTTTTTTCTTCTTTCTTTCATTCATTCATTCATTCATTCATTCATCCAAACTGTCCGTTTTGTCATTACTAGGGGTGTTCTTGACACCTTTTTCTTTCTTTCTTTCTTTCTTTCTTTCTTTCTTTCTTTCTTTCTTTCTTTCTTTCTGTCTTTCTTTCTTTCTGTCTTTCTTTCATTTTTCTTTCTTCTTTTTCTTTCTTTCTTTCTTCTTTTTCTTTCTTTCTTTCTTCTTTTTCTTTCTTTCTTTCTTCTTTTTCTTTCTTTCTTTCTTTCTTTCTTTCTTTCTTTCTTTCTGTCTTTCTTTCTTTCTGTCTTTCTTTCATTTTTCTTTCTTCTTTTTCTTTCTTTCTTTCTTCTTTTTCTTTCTTTCTTTCTTTCTTTCTTCATCTTTCTTCCTTTCTTTCTTGGTGTTGTTGCTCATATTTCAAATCGTTTACCCAGTGTGCTGCTGTTTTGATCGACAGGGATGGCACGGCACACGACAGTCATTAGCAGGGTCTCTCTTTTCCACAAAACACCTGTAGAGCTGCTGCGTCTGTAAAGTCAGGAAGAGAAAGCACCACGATTCAAGGAGACTGCAGAACCTGACGTTTGCCACCACAGACGCTCATCCAGTGTGATAAATATACTGCTATCTTTGCGTTTTTGCTCTCCGTAGATTATTTTTTCTTACTTTTTCTATTCATGTCGGCTGGTTTATCCAAATCGTTGCAGTGAACTGAACAGGGTCAGTCTTTTAAGGTTGAGCATCAGATTCGTGACTACCTTTTCCACCTCGTTAAATGTCCAGTTTGCAAACATTACTCGTGTCTATTATACTTCATTTGCTGTTCGTTTAAAAATACATCCAAATTACAGACAATTTCTCTCTTTATGCTTGCTCTGTGTTGGCTAACTGCTACGTGTTATGGTGCGTGAATTCCTGGACTACCTTGAATTGTGGGACTTACAGCATTGTTATCTGTGGAACCACAGACATATTTGTGCATTCCAGTTGTCCTCGGAACTCGGATTTTCCGAGCAGGAAATGACAATAACAGGCTTGTTTTGCGAGAACTCGGAAAAAAATGGATGCCACCAGTGTTGTTGAGTACTAAAGTAAAAGAATTATATAACTGAGTATTCTCCGCACCTAAATAATAGTGACACATACGCCTCTCGACAGTTGCCACATAAAACCAGAAAAACATTATAATTCTAATATAAAAATATAAACACCGGTCGATTTTGGTGGCAATATAAAAATTTTGTCAACAACGTAATTATTGATAATAACAATGAACAACTTACCGGTGCCGTTAAAGTCTCTTTTCAGAGTATTTCTCTTATCCGATCTCACCATCTAGTGGCTGACAAGCATATCGCACAAAAAGTCTGTCGTTACGTTTTTTTAAGATGGCGCCTTCGTGTTTTTTGTTTATAAATGGGTTTTTAAAATATAGCAAAGCTGTTTTAGAGTTGCACTGTTTCTGGTTTTGACAACCGACACAGATTTTCAATGACTCAAAAACTATAATCAGCTTCTCAAAAAATGATTTGCCTTCAAACTTCTGATTCGAAAAAAAGAAAAATTAACATAAATGATCAGAGTGGCTAGCATGGTGATGGTGAGTTCACAGACCATGATTCTGATTGCCACTGGCAGCTTTATTTGTCGCTTCTCTTAAAAAATTTGACATTAGGAACCATTTTAAAAGACATCGAGATATCTAGAGATCATCAAAACCCTCAGCGTAGCGCATCATGGCCCACATTGGACTCCTGACCGTAACACGATGACATCTATATTGATCTGATAAGTGAAATCTGCGCTTCTATGTTGAATTATACTATTATAGAAGTCTGTAAATGTACTCAGAAAAATTCTCAATAAATGCTTGAAACTATCTTTACTGACCATGTGTTATTTGCCGCTGGAGATCTCTAGGGAGGCAGCTCAAGCGTAGCAAATAAATTCACCATGAATAGACAACAGTGTTCTTCCCCTCCTAGTGGGATGGCGTTCATAACCCACACACTAACTACAATATTCATGTATGGCACTGCTGAAACACAAGTCAACACCTGGTGTCTGAATGAGCCAGTGTACGTTGTTTTTAGCTTGCTTACGGTGAAATGTGATGCTAAAACTCGAGAGCGTGTCCGCAAGGTTGGCTGAATGTTTTCCAACCGTCAACTCCTCCATTAATGTACAGGTGTGTTTGGTTTTTACACACATCTAGAGCTTGTCTTTAGTGTGATCTGTAACAGCTTTTCCTGCGCAAATGTTTTTATGGGTGTTTATCGTGTTTTATAGGGGTGGTGTCACTCTGCGTGGAAGCTGACCCGCCGATCACCTCGATGTAAAATTAAAACGTACAGCTTTCTCAGTGGCGTTCTTTCCAAAGCGAAGGCAGCGTTGGTATTAAACAGCCCCTGAGGAAAGCCAGGGGCAATCTATAATTCACAGTGCTGCGTGCGTTGGAGCACCGCCAGCCTTATGTAACCAGGGGCAAATGTTTGTGATGTTTGGCTGTGGTGCATGGATCCACACCTCCTAAAGGGTTCAGACCTTGTTCCCTTAAAGGCCTTTAAGAGTTCTTGATGAGTTTGAGCCAACAAAAGATCAAAGAAGAAGTCTTCTAAAAATAGTTTTCTACTTGAACCATTGCCCTTCCTTCTTAACAGCTTTCTGATATCTCTTCACAATCTCGTTTGGTTCCTCCATTCTTCAGCCCCCGCTGAGAAGTCCCGAAACCGCCTCTTCCTGTTTTAAATCACAGTAGAGGAAGCAAACAGGGCTTCATGCATGAAGGGGGAAAGCAGTGCATGAATCAGCCATGCACAGCCTTGAGTGACTCATCTAATATAGGGGGAGTGCTTCCACTCGCAGACAGTAAGCCGCAGCCTCGCTGGCTTTCAACAAAACATCTATTCCAGGCCAATTTCCAGTTGTGTACGACCTTCCATTTATGGGGAAGGCAGCACGACAGACCAGGACTTTTCCTGCTTTACTGTTGCAAGTTTTAAACATGGAAGATTTAGGAAAATGTTTTTCATAATGGTGACCACAGAGTACGCAGGGCTCCTCGTCTGCATGTGGTTGTCATTGTAGGATTTGCAGCGGAGACATTAGGCGAGTGAGAGCAAACACGTGCAGACACGGCAGAAGCATGTAGTTCTAATGCTGTGTTGGCGCTCTCTTTTTTTAGGTTTTGCTAACGTTCTTTTTTTAAATATCCTTTTTCTTCCCTGTTTTAATAAGCCAGATGTTATAGACTAATAAAGCTAGTGCTCAAGTTCAACAATTTTTGACAAAGAACATCCTGTTCTCCTGAAAGAGGCAGGTGAGCCTTTTGTATAGGTTTGCCTCTTCAGTGTTGACGTTGATTTATCCTGCGTTGTAGATGGATATCATGCTCAGACGTATCCAAACTGGCACTACGAAACAAAACAGAAAAATGTGGGACTCTGGAGGAAAAGAAGGTCACGCTTAAAGATTTTTAAAGGGTGTTTCCTTAGAAATGACTAACGACCCAAGCAAAAGAAGAGAAAAAAAAACAGTCACATAATGGTTTTCCTATAATTCTTTTTAAACAACTGATTTGAGGTATTTTCCCACTGGAAGCAACTGAGTCCAAATCTGCTTTACGTTCTGAGAACAAGTCCCACAGACTGACAGATTTTCACGATAAGGGATACATGTCATGCTTTGGTTAAGTGAACAATAAACTTAAAGCACAACACGATTGTGAAGAATACAAAGTGGATAAATAAACACCCTGCCTTTGTTTGACCCAGGGATCAGGTCTCACCCAGACTGTTTTCTGCCCAGAGTAATAGCCTCAATTGTTCTATACGGTTTGGATGGAGAAGGGGGTTAGGGTCCGCTACAAGACACAACCATTTACAAGTTACAAAAGCAGTCAGGCACTCCAGACGCAGCTTCAAAGTGGAGCTTTTTGAGCACCTCGTCGTTTAGCCTCGTTTACGTTGGTTTCAACAAAGATTTGCTTGTCAAGTAAAAATTTTCCGTATTTTAAGTTTTTCCGTAGATTTTCTTTCATAGTCATCGTTTTGGGCGGCGCATCACACAGCGTTTTTCCATAGTGGTCGTGCATGTGTGTTGGTTGGTCAAGTGGGACCTCATATGTGAAGCCTGCAGGTAAAGCACTGCACCCACAAGCTGGTGCATGCTCGGATTGAACTCTGATCTGGTTTAAAGATTGATCAAAACTCAGCAGAAACTCAGCTCACATACTAAAGGCACCTTGTGTTCCATTAACAGGTAAATAGTGGTAGCTTTGCCTGCACATGAAGGTCATACCAAGTGTTCTGCTGCAGCAGATTTATTTCATTCTTTACCAACTTTAATCTCTTAATGTCTGTTCTGTCCTTGAAGGTAAAAACCCTACAGACGGCAGTGCTTCAGGAGACTATGGAGCGCCCAATCCTGGACCTGCGTTCAAAGAGGTGTGGCAGGTGAAGGTGTGGCCCAAAGGCCTGGGTCAGGCCAAAAATCTGGTTGGCATCTATCGCCTCTGCCTTACAGACAAGACGGTCAACTTCGTGAAGCTGAATTCCGATGCTGCTGCCGTGGTACTGCAGCTGATGAATGTTAGGCGCTGCGGCCATTCGGAAAACTTTTTCTTCGTCGAGGTCGGGCGCTCTGCTGTGACGGGCCCTGGTGAATTCTGGATGCAAGTGAGTACATAAATGTATAGAATCAATAATTAGCCAAAGACAATGTAATGCAGTGTTAATTTTTACACAAATTTTAAATTTAGTTGTAGTCTTAGTATTTTGACTAAAATTATTTTAAATATTAGTCACAATTTAGTTGTTCAATCTGTTTTAATTTGTCGACTAAAGTAAATGCAGTAATTTTTCTGTTCTTTAAAGGAAATGTTATGTGCACCTACACTAAACTGTGAAGCCATGTGTAGATTTCACATTTTACTCTTTGGATCAATAATCCTCTAAATTTATAATTGTTTTAATAACAATAATTAATGAAAATGACCAAAATGCTCACTGACAGTTTGAAATTGTACCTCTCAGTATTAATAAGGTAAACAAATCTGCATAATGTGCAGTAATATTTGTAAACATGATGGGAAGTGACATTATACCATCAAACATTAAAAGGAGTTACTCTAATAATGCATGGAGGTAAACTAAAGGTATGATTAGTTTTCAGGTGTACTAAGCCCTTTTCAGATAGACATTCTGGAATATGTGTGGACAATTCAGTCCGTTTTTTAACCGGAACTGTGTTTTCAGACACACCACTTTTGTACCGGAACTTGTCCTTTCAGCTGCGTTCACACAGCAGGGAAAAGTTCCAGATGTCTGGGGGGGGAATCGGACTTATGTTAAGCATAATTCTGCGCACACGAAGACGCCGCATAAGAGACCTGGATGATGAAGCTCAATGGTTAAAGGAATCACTGAAGTGATGTGAAGCGCTCCGTCTAGAGCAGGGGTGTCAAACTCATTTTAGCTCAGGGGCCACATTGAGGGAAATCTAGACCCAAGTGGGCCGGACCGGTAAATAAAAAAAAAACTTCAGATTGTTTTCTTTGTTTTAATACAATCGATATAAAACAAGGCTGGAGTCTGAGGACAGTGTAGTACAAGTACAACACCTGAAGTGTACTTGAAAATAAAAAAATAAAATAAAAAAAATCAACAAATAAAAAAAAACATTCCTTAGTGATTCAAAGAGCTTTCAGATCACATGGCAAGATCAATTTCATGCAGCACTTAAAGTATATTTGACTCATTTTACTTTACATCTTTTAGCTTTCACCAGCACATCAATATCAGAAGTCACATCCTGAGTGGCGGCCAACTTCAGGATGTGATTCAAGTTCTTGTGTGAGCCTTGAGCGCAGCTTTGTTTTATTTATACTCATTACAGAGGAAACTTGCTCACAAAGATAAGTTTATTTTCACTCTACATTGTAAAGTATGAAAATAAAGTTTACACAACCATCTTGCGGGCCGGATTTAACCCGCTTGCGGGCCGGATCCGGCCCGCGCGCCGCATATTTGACACCCCTGGTCTAGACGGTACCGTAGGAGGTGAGCTGCCATGGTTCGCCTCATGCTACAGCAGCGGGCTATCTAGGTGCGCACAGCGTCCCCCGGTCCCCTTCTCCTCCCTGTCCAGAACTCGACCTCACCAGTCAGAAGCAGCCACCTTGTCCGTAACAAGTCCGGACCTGTTACTAGGGGCGTCGTCCGGTTAAATTACGGAAAACGTTATCTGGATGTTTGTATTCAGACACAAAGGTCTTACGGACAGAGTCCGAAACATTTCCGTTTTTCATGGCCTGTCTGAAGGGGGCTTTTACCTGCACTATTTTACTAAGGTGGGCTGCCTGAATGTTTTTCTGTACCGCCTGAATGCGTTTTTCCTCACAAAAGCACAGCTGGTACACTGAACGCTGATAACATTGGCCGTAGCATCGTCCCAAAAACCACCGTAACACTTCTATAACCAGAGGAAACCCCGGATGTGTACTCACCAAGCAAACACTTTTCAGATTGTCACATCTAATGCTTTTCCTCCCAGCCGCGGACATTTCTTCTTTTAGACATAAATTGTTCAACTTATACCGGTAGCTTGTTCAAACAGTGATCAGCTCTTTTCTCATCTAGTCCCGCCTGCCCCATTTGTTGATTGGTTCTTTTTTCCGTTCTCCCATCATTTCCGTTTTTCGTTACCGTCAGTTGTCATTGTCATCTTTTATTCTTTGACAAAAATGTTGATCAAAATTCGTCATAATTTAATCATTAATAGTACAATTAGAAGTTCTTATTTTCTTTTTTTATTCATGTATTTATTTCTTTTTTGCAAAAATTCATTCTTCACGAAAAAATGAAGAACTAAAATATATTGTCAAGGAAATAAAAACTGATGTAATGTTTAGGGTTAAGGTGACTGCACTGTGAGTTTATATTTAAGTGAAGTTAGTTTCTGTAATTATTCCTAACTTAAAGTGAATTAACAAATATTTTATTTATTATTTGACCTGATTTTTGTGTCATATTCTAGGTGGATGATTCAGTTGTAGCCCAGAACATGCATGAAACCTTGCTGGAAGCCATGAAAGCACTGAGTGAGGAGTTCCGCTTACGCAGCAAGTCCCAGTCTAACTCTGGCCCTGGGGGAGGTGCGACTGCTTCCAACCCCATCAGTGTACCCTCACGCCGCCACCACCCCAACCCTCCTCCCAGTCAAGTTGGTTTCCTACGTAGGCCTCGAACAGAGCCACCTGGAGGAGCTAATGGTGGAGGTGCTTCTAGTGCCTCTCCCACACCCCAGCACAGCTTCCCAAGGTCTCGCACTGCCAGTGACGGAGGGAAAGGTGAGGATGGGATTGCAGGGTCCACCCCTACACATGGAGTGAACTCTAGCCCTTCAGCCAATGGCTCCTGCTCCACCACGCCAATCCTCAGGTCAAAGTCAGCCCGTTCAGCCCCAACCGCAAATACTAAATCTCCCTTTGCGTTGATGCGCTCCATTTCTACCCCAGCACCATCCCCAGTCCAAAGTCTGTCATCTAGCTCTGGGCATGGCTCAGAGTTTGGATGTATGACATCTGCTGGTGCCATTTCAGGGTCTGGTACCTACAGTCGTGTGTCCTCTCATCACATCTCTGTCTCGGGCTCACCCAGTGATTATGGCTCCTCAGACGAGTATGGTTCCAGTCCTGGAGACCACTCAGTCCACCCATCCCCAAGTCTCCCTGGAAGCTCCATTGGCAGCATTGGCAACCAGTCCCTAGGTGAAGATGGGGCCAACTATATTCTGATGAGTCAACGTGGTGATGGAATGGCAGTTGGCAATAATAATCAAGGAACCTTGACGTCCAGCTCTCAGCTTGCATCAGGATTACCAACCAGTGGCTCCTTGCCCCAGACTAGAAGGGTGCTTCGTCGTTCCTCAAGCCGTGAATGTGAAGCTGAACAAAGGCTACTGAGCAAACGTGCCTCCTTACCACCTATGGCTCTGGAAAGACTTGCCCCACGCCAGCGCAGAGCTGAGGAGCCAGATGAAGAGTCAGCTGATTATGCAATTATGTCAAGAAGCACTAGCAGAGAATCCTTTACATCAACATGCTCTTCTACGCAGAGGGAATCAGTCATCGGTGCAGGTGTGGGAACAGGAGGGTACTTTGATGTTGCTGGAGAGTTAAAAACTGAAGGGGGTGCAGGTGGTGGTATAGATATAGGGGTGGACAATGGGTACATGTCTATGTTACCCGGAGTTACTCAGCCTCCAGTGTCCTTGTCCCAGTCAATTGCTGTCTCGGTTCCTGAAATAGATCCCAAGCCTGCCGATGACTATATGGCCATGACCCCTAACAACAGCGTGTCCCCTCCTCAGCAGATTCGACATCCACTACCTTCTGATGGCTATATGATAATGTCCCCAAACAGTAGCTGCTCACCAGACCAGCGTGGAGGTCTCTCTGAAGGAGCTTGGGTAGGCAGTGGAAGCGCAGACAGCAGAGCTGGCAGTGACTATATGAACATGTCTCCAATTAGTGCACCTTCTGTAAATGGCAGCACCCCACATTCTGAGCACAACTGCCATTTGGAAACAGGTTTGCAGCAACAGCTCCCAAAGATGGTGTATTCTTACTACTCTCTTCCTCGGTCGTACAAGCATAACCCCACTGCTGGGCATTTTGACGATGGGACTGGACGAGGTCGAAGGCCTAATGGGAGCTGCCGGGAAATAAATGGTCGTAGAGGTACTGCTGGGCGTCAGAGTCAACCAGCTAGCAATTCAGTTGCTCAGTCCCTATCTTCATCCTCATACTCTTCCAGTTCAGCCAGCAATGAGAGTCTTGGGGAAACCGACGACGGGACCACTAAGGTGTTGAATAAAATGACAAGTGGCTCCAAGTCCAAAGAGGGGAGCAAAACAGGTCAGAGACGAGGCGCTGATGGATTGTCAAAACATGGTAATCATCCTAGAAATCGTCCAGTTAGCCTATTTGTTGATGTATCAAAAGCTAACACCCTTCCCAGGGTCCGTGAGAACCCTTTACCCCCAGAACCCAAGAGCCCTGGGGAATATGTAAGCATTGAATTCAAAGGAGAAAAGTGCAACTACGCTGGGGTTGGAGTAGGTCGAGGCAGGGGGCTAAGACATGGATCACTGCTGCCTCAGGGCTCAAACAGCCAGAGTCCTCAAATGAGGCCAGTATCCTGTGTCGGGAACTTTATTCCCCTCTCACACAGTCCATCTACGCCCATCACTCCCCCATCTGCCTCTGAATATGTCAACATGGACTTGGGTCCTTCTCCATCCCCTTCACCCCATTCCCTTACCCCAATTGTTTTCCCACCTTTCCACACCCCTCCCACTCCTCCGGTTCTTGCTTATGTCCCTAAAACTTGTAAAGAAGGTCCTGCTAGTCCTTGTGAAGGGGATCGTGAAGTGTCTGAGGCACCTCTTGGGAAAAACAGAGAAACAGTTACTGAAGCCGAGTCTCCTACATCTTGTGGGGACTACACAGAGATGGCTTTCAGTTTAAACAAAAACGCTGTCCCGCGAACATCACCCAATATCTCACCAAAAGTTCCATCTCCGACCAGGACTGATCCATCTGTTTCAGTGCTGTCTCGGGGTCTAGACTTTCCACTGTGTAAATCAGGACCGAACCCTGACCAGGGGGCTAAGGTAATACGTGCTGACCCCCAAGGACGCAGACGGCACTGCTCAGAAACCTTTGTTGCCTCACCTTCCGTCCCCACTTGTACTTCTACTTCTTCTTCAACTGCTTCCCTCTTTCCTGAACACACCCAGACCCGCCGCCTTGGATTTGAAAGCATGTTGTGGGGTAGTGGTTCGGTTACTGATCCCCCAAGCCAACCCCCTCTTCCTGGAAATGGTCAGACCTTATCTACAGAGCAAGGACTTAACTACATAGACTTGGATCTGGTCAACAAAGAGAGTCCACATGCCAGCCTGGATGGGTCATCGGGAAACCAGGCCCAATCTCGGCTCTTTTCTGTAGCGGCTGCAGGTTCTGGAGTTGGTGCAGCAGCTGGTGGAAGCAACAGTTCAAGCCTCAACACATACGCCAGCATTGACTTCTACAAATCAGAGGAGCTGAGGACACATCAAAATGGAAACAAAGAGGGAACAGGTATGTGTTTTCACCATTAATTATAGTTGGGTTTCTCATTTCTCTTTGTCTTTCACCACTTTTAGCCTTCACCCCTTTCTCCCCCTTTGGTGCATGTGTTTTGTATCATGTTCAAAATGAAATGTATATCCTGCCAAGATAATCCAATGGAGCAGAGGCTCCCCTTCCATCTATAGTTGTAATCAAACTTCAACTGGCGCCGGATTAAAACCTAGACAGTGGTCTTATATATGAAGCAGTCTCTTTAATCCTGAACATGAGACAAGAGCATGGCTCCTACAGCAATGGATACATTGATTTTCTTGTCTGAACCATGGTGAACCCTGACTTTTACTTCATGTGATTAGGTGAGGTGTTAAAGGCCAGAAGATTTTTAGAGATATTAATGAAAATCAATTTTCTGGCAATCTTGTAGAGATTTTTTCAGTTCAGACCCATGGGCCGTTGGTCACACATGTATGTCAGCCACCAGAATCATTCTGCTCTGGTTGAGCCATTGTTTGTGAAAGAACGGAACTGTCAAACACATTAAACGTAGCTTAACTAGCAGCAAGACTATTCAGACTTGCCATTGAAGCATTCTACTTTAAGCTGGGTTTCTGTTGACTTGTTACTATAAAGCCCAGAAAAGCCCATTTATACGAGACAAATGTTTTCTTTTATGGATCACCGTTTTCCAAACCTTTAAAGTAAAACACACATTATGTCTTTAGATTCTGATGGCTTTTCAACAACGGCAAAAACGGAGTGAAAATTGGATTTAGCAGCTTTCCTGTTCTTCAATAGGGCACAGCTTTTGCAACAATAGGGGAAACTGTTGTAATTGTCCAAGTCTGCAGTTTCTCTGTAACTCTAGCGCTGTAATTTCATTGTATTTACCGGTATTTATTTTTTTTTTAATCATTTTTGCAAGAATCAGTTTCCTGTCTTGGGGAGACCACCACTGCTAAACAATGCCTCAGCAAAATTGTTGAGACGTTTCGTCATAGAAAAAATTCTCTTTCAACCACTGTCTGCAGAAAATGTTTCCTTCTGAGAAATAAACGCTTCCATGTAAAGCAGAAAAAAAAGCATCGTTTAACTGAAGATGTGGATTTATAAGCACCAGTAAAAAGGCGCTGTAACCTTCCACAGTAGGACTCTTGTGATAAACGCTTCCTGCCGGGCCTCGCCGTTTATGTAGCACTGCTAGCTTTCATGATTTGTACTGTAAGTTGTGTTGGAGTTAAAACCTCCTGCCCAGGTCTTTGCGGTAAACATTTCACAGCCCAGCTCAGCATTTGGATTTAATAAAGAAGCATTAGCAAAAATTCACCCTGGGTTTTTGTGGCGAGCGCTTCAACTCGGAGCCTCTAAAGTTGTTTTTTATAGATTCCACAGGTGGAAATGAACAATCAGACTCGCTTCCATTCGTCTCAGTGTTGGATTTATAGGGAAATGATGGGCAGGTTGGATAAAGCAGGAGGGTTTTCTGTGTGTGTTTTAAATAGAAACACTAGCAGGCTACCACGGTGGGACCATATGGGCTCTGGCTGTTGGGAACGTCAGCGGGGGCAGCGTGGGGGAGAATGTTACACATTGGCTGTGAATGTTGAGATGGGGCCAGTGTTGCACTCACACAGCTCTCAAATGCCTGTGTACAGTGTCCCCCCCCCTGCTTTCATTCCTGCCTCCCCCTCTTTCCTCCTCCAATAAATGATCCTTTTGTTTGAGCGTTTGCCGCGGTGGGCTGGCAGGCCTCGACGGGGCTTAGTCCCAAGACCAGGGGACTCTCCTGAGACGTTTGTCCTCTGCAGCCTGTAATTTTCAGTTTTGCTGTTGTGCTTCTTTTCCCGTTTTTATCTTTATTTCTGTTTTGATTTGGCTTGCTTGTCTTTATCTGTGCTTTAGTGCTTGTCCTCGTCTGACATCAAGGCTGGTGGATTTTTGGGATTCCTTCCCTCCCTTCTGTACGATACTCATTCTATTGTTCAAGAACGTCTTTATCCTCCTCCTCTTTCACACTCAGTCCATTCCATAAAAGAATTATGCACAAACTTGTCAGATTCTCTGCTCTAAAGAAGAAAGCAGGAATGTCGACTGAGCACGCTGAGATGCTCCATAACAACGCCTTTCTGCTACTCCACACAAAAATACAGGTTGGAAATGTATTTGCATGGGTTTTTATGATCCGCTTTAATTACAGGGGATTTCTTTTCCCCCTGCAGCTATAAGCTTGTACGGGAAAAGACCGTCTGTATGTCTCAGAGGCGCTCTCTCTTGGCTCTGAAGGCCAAAGGCTAAAATTGAACATCAGTAGTGGGACGTGTGCCAGAAACAGTCCTATTGGACAGTGATTACATAACTTGTGAAAGTAACCTCATGGTGCAAATGTTGAGGGAAAGCACAGTGAACTGGTTCACCCCGAGTCCTGAGGAGAAATCTAACAGATGTTTTAGTCTAAAGAAAACATTTTATTAGACTGTTTGGAGTAAGCAGCAAGGGTGTTTATGACGGGGAATGATCTGGGGCCTCATTTATCAAGCTTGCTTACGCACAAAACGGGGTCGGAAAGCTGCGTAAGCAACTTTCCACGCAAACTTTGGGATTTATGAAAGAAACTTTAAGTTGACTGGACCTGGCTTACGCACATGTTGGACATGGAGAGCACCTGCAGTGCTGCTGCTGAGAAGATACAATTATGAAATCCTGCAGCTTTATCACTTGTACCGCTTAGTTTTCACACAGAACAAGACCCCCCACACACGCACGCACGCACGCACGCACGCACGCACACACACACACACACACACACAGGGTCCGAAATTAAATTTTTTACTCACCGGCCAAGTTGGCTGGTAGATGATGAAAATCTACCGGCCAAGTATATTTTTTACCGGCCAAAATTCTAAATGATTTAGATCTACCTAAAGCATGTTATTCTATATTATGTTGATTCCAAACAGAGTGACAAAATAATTAAAACATCAATTAATAAGGAAAACAACTATTTTGTCATTTTTACTATTTATTTATTTATTTTTAGAGATGTTTTTATGAACTCTTTCATTGAAATCTAGTCAGACTCCTTGTTTTCTCTGTCCATGAAGTCTGGCCTCCTGCTTCTGACACCGTCTTTGTGCCAAAGCATTACAGCCTCATTTGGGTCCTAGTCCTTGATCTCTGGAGAACACAGCTGCAGCATGAGAATATCTGAAAGTGTGTCAGGGCTAGGGTTGTCACGGTAACCGGTGTAGCAGTAAACCCCGGTAAAAAAGTTGACAATAATAATAACAGTCTTGTTTAAAAAAAATTATCTCGGTGGATTACCGTGGCTGTGGTGTAGGCGCGGTGACCCTTACCAGCCACCGTATCATCTGGAAGTTGCCGGCGGCACATGCGCACAAAGCTGAAATAATGGCAGGAGGAGACGGCAGCACTTGGGACATTTATTATCCCTCAAAGAAGACAAAGTCGGAAGTATGGGCATTTTTTGGATATTTGAAGAATGCCGAGGGACAGTTGTCTGTGAAAGGCAGCAACGCTACGTAGGGCTGCTCAATTAATCGAATTTTAATCACGATTACGATCTGAGTTTTGAACGATTATAAAAAACAAAACAAGCCGATTATTTGCTCCTCCCGCTTGCGCTGCCCTGAGTTGCAAATGAAGCGCTCCTCCACAGTGTTGCCAACTTAGCGACTTTGACGCTATTTCTAGCAGCTTTTCAGACCCCCTGCTTGACTTTTGAATCTTAAAAGTACCTAGCGAACACCTCAGAAACATCTCTGGTAACCCTTAGCTACTTTCTGGATAATTGCGTTGACGTTTCCTGCAGGTTAGCTAAACACTCCGCCTGCTCTCCGGACCGTTCTCCAGGACATTAGGAAAGGGAATGATGAAGTGATGTGTCAGTCGCTAAAGACGGCTCTCGGAGTTGGCTCCCTGTTGGATTAACCAGAGTGAGTGACACACACCGCACCTGCGGACTCCTGAGCAGCTAAAAACGGCTAAATGTGCGCGTGCGGCGTGCTAAACACACGTGCAGCTTACCCCTGATTGCTGTGAGACCGGGTTGGGGGGTGGGGGTGCAGCTGTGGTTGGGACAATTATTACATTAACTGATGGACTTGTAAATAAATAGTTTATAAATAAGGTAGAAATAAGTTCCTCACGCTGGTAATTAATAACTAATCTCTCTGAGGATACGGTGCTAGTGCACTCTTCTACAGCACCTTGACACGACTCAATAAATGTTATGCAACATTTTGTGAACATCAATTTATTTGCATTTATTTGTTATAAATGCCACTGTATAATTCTTGCTGTCAGTATTTGCAAGATATTGGTATTTGGGTCTGTACTGGTTAGACTTAAATGAGTTAAACCAAGGTCTATAGCCCTTGGGTCATAAACTATGAGCTATAAGTATATTGGTCTTTTTATACTGGGAATCAGGAGTTATTTTAGTGATCATCTTGTTTCTTATTTATTTTTGTCCTGATTGTGCCCTGAGCAATTTTATGACTGAATAAAAACAAATAAAATCAACATAAATTGAAAAATCGTCCTAAATAATCGTGATCTCAATTTCAGTCACCATAATCGTGATTATTATTTTTGCCATAATCGAGCAGCCCTAACGCTACGTGGCCATCATAATGTAGCCATTGTCTCACGACTCCGCCGTCTCCGGTTCGCCACTTTTCACAAAATCTTCTGGTTGCCACTGGTCCTGGTGGTTTTTCTTCCAGTTCGACGAGTTTTCTTTTGGAAGGCTGGCTGACTCCAGTTAAAAAATGCCACATTTCACCGCTAGTTTTAACACGACGCTAACTGCTAACTTGATAAATTGATTGAATGGGATAGGTGGAAATGACGTTGGATGCGGCGTTCACGTTTCGCGTACGTTTGTGTACGTTGCATGCAGGCGGGAGGAGTATCAGAAATCCTTGGAAGATGACTGATAAACATAACTAATTTGGTGCAAACATTTACTCGCCAGGTGGCAGGTAGAGCTC